TTTCCTTTCTAAAATTGTATCTTGTGCTGTATGCAGGCAATTATTGCTCAATATATATGAGGAGGCCTCCAAAGAATGCTACTGAGACGTCACTTGAAGACGTGTTTAAGAAATTTGGGCTTACTCTGAAATACAGAAATGAAGCTAAAAGCAAGAGGGTATTTCTTTTTAAACGCTAATACTGTTGCCTCTTAATTGATACATGATGATCCATATAAGTATATTATTTTTTTGCTGCCGCGAGAAATGTCCTCTTTTGGTTTTGTGGAATTTGAAGAAGCAAGTTCTTACAAAAAGCCATACGGTCGTTTGGAATAAGAACTTATACTTAGTTGAACGTATATGGTTTTCGCCTGTTGTTATGAACTGTTTTGGCTTGTGACTTGCTTATTGGGATTATCTCGGATAACTGAATTTCAGTCAAGACTGTAACATTTCACACTTTATCATCTCTATTAACATATTGTCCTCTCATTTCCTTTTGGCGTTTTTGTGTTTCGTGCTTTTTGTCCAGGCAATACATATTGTTTATCGTTACCATAATGATCTTGTGATATGATTTTGTCTTTGCTATTGAACGTTACTTATAAAATCAAGACATAATGCCATAAACACTGGGTTGGATTATGTGTATTTCATTTTTGTAGTCCATCCTTGTTAAATAAATTAAGGTACGTGTGAGTGTGTCTGATTCCCTATATTTATTTAGAAATTTCATGGCTCGAAAATGCCGGCAGCATTGGTGAACTATAACTTGGGGGTTGTAAGCAATCATGTTTTCATTTGTTTTCATTACATTCATAGGCTTCAGTTGATTGATCAAGCAGTTTCCCATGAGACAAGTAATGTTAGTGAACCTTTGGGGAATAGAAGTGGGAAATTTTTCAAAGGCTTATTAGACGTTGCACGAAAAACAAAACTCCCCCCTAGCTCTAGTAAGGGGCGTTTTCGGCACAACGTCTGATTCATGGGCTTTCTTATTATTATTTATTTTATTTTATTTTTTCTTATTATTTTTTCAGCTGATGCATCTCAAGGGAGCTGCTGCAAGTTTTTCTCCCCCTCCAATGGATCCTGGAAAAGCAATACTAAACAGTAGACACAATGAAAAGGGTGAAGGCTTGATTTCAGAATTGTTCTATATGCATGTTCATTTTTCATGTACTTGCCTTTAGTTGAATGTAATTTGTAGACACCTATCTTATGTTCAAGAAAAAAGATGTGCAGAATCTCAGACTTCTCCCATATCAATTGGTAAAATCTCTAGGCAAGTGTTATTCTCGAGACATAATAATAAAAAAATCTACCCATCCGATGCATGCATTTGAAAATTGGCACGTGACAAGATTTCACACTGAGGTGTTGTCTCCTGAAAGAAGTGATTATTATAGGTAAACAACGACGACACCAACATGGCATTATAGAGGAAACTTGACCTCTCTCTTCACCTCTATGATTATGAACTCTGATCACTGATTCATTGCATTTTAATTAAATTGAATCTGGTCGTGTAATATAATCACATGCACCCTCACCTCCCTCTTTCTTTTTGATTTGCTCCTGAATGGATGCATCCATGTCTTTTCTTCCATTCATGATGTTCTTTTTACCCTCCAAACAGAGAGATTCAGAATCCAGCCGCTTGGAAACATTGGAGGTGGCAGTGGTTACAATAAAAGGATCAAAGTTACATCATTTTGCCCAATAAAAGAAAACCCTGATTTAAAAGTAGAATGGACCCTGCCGAACAGCGAAACATCTCTGGTCCTTCTCCGGCTACCTGCAAAGCACATCGCCGCCTGCAGATGCGTATGCAGTAGTTGGCTCCACCTAACGACTTCACCAAAATTCATCTCTGCACAGCTCGACCATGCCCGGTCCGAATCCGATCCCCAAGTCCTTTTCCACGATTCGTACCCCCTCAGAGACAGAGACAAGTTCCCACCAAAACCCCCCCAATCAGGCCTCGTCTGCTCTTCCACGGACACATTGATTATTGGCTCGATCAACGGCCTGATCTGCTCCGCTGGCAACGGGATGTACCGCAGCTGGCCGACCCCCAATGACATCTGGATATGGAACCCATCTACTGGGCTCTCAAAGAAACTCCCCATGGGCATCCACCAGTTCCAGCGCTTTTCCAATTATCAGGCCACATTCGCCTTCTGCTGGGACGAAGAGTCTGACGTGTACAAGGTGGTTAGAATCATTTCGAAGAAATGCGAAGAAACCTTGGCCGAGGTCTGGTCCTCGGATATTAAATCCTGGGAGGAGATTGATCTCACCAACCACCCTTCTTTCTATCACCCCTCACACCATGTTAACGCGGTCCCAGCCACCACCTGCAATGTGTTTGTCGGGAATTCCCCCCACTGGGCTGTCATCGATTATTATGGGAATCCCTTTATCATGTCATTTGATGTCAAAGCCAACAAGCTGAAGAGATCCTATTTCCCATCTCAACTATCTTCTCACCGGGAAAAAGTCGCTGAGGGAATTAACTGTGGGCTTCCTGATCTTATTGTTACAAACTGGATGGGGAAATTGGCGGTGCTCGATGCTGTGGATTATCTTTCTGCTGATGATGAGTATGAGAAACTGGCCAAGGCTCTTTCTGCTACAGAGAGGGAGACGATTATATACTGGTTGTGGACGATGGAAGCGAATGGTCATTGGATTCGTTCATGTCTGTTTTCTTTTGGGTTTATGTTCAATTATTGCCTGAACTCCGTGGGGGGAGGGAAATTTATGCTGGTGGACAGGTATTCAGATATAGCATTTTACGACATTGTGGAGAGACGAGTTATTAGGACTTATGGAGTTCCCGAGGAAATTCCCTGTATATCTTTGGGCTTTGACTTTGTCGGGAGCTTAGTGTCGATTGAGGGGTTTGAGCCCATTGGGAACAATTTTAGCAAATTGATGACTCTCACCTGGCCAAGTCATGTGCAGATGAGCGTGAACGAGGATAAACACGGGGATAAACACTGCAAACAACTCTTTGTAAGTTCACGTAGTATTAGTATTATTATTGGCAGCCTCTACCGCCTGCTTGTGTGTTTGGTTCCTCTGTGTAAGATTTTATTTCCTTCATATTTTTTGGCTTAACATGATGCGTTTTGTTGTCATACTTGCGGGAGTAAGAAGTATGGCTTCCATACATACATGCATACAATACACACACACACACACGCAGATTTACTTGTTTTACAGTTTTGGCTTGCACTATGTTTTGTGATTCATGATTTATAGATGAACCATGCAATGCACATGCATCTTTATCGAAGCTCCTAAGGTTCGATCACACATTCATATTTAGTACCGACTCTTTCCCTCTCTTGCAGATGATTTCGGGAAAAGGTAAATTCTGTGAGGATGCAATGGAACGTGATCCTGAAGAGTCTGCCGTCCCTGCACCTTTTTGGGAGTATCAAAATCATTTTAATATTTTGGGTATTTCTTGGCGTTGATTGGGGCAAGGAATGAGCCCGTGATAGTTGGTTTGTTGTGTTAAATGCCAAGATGATAGTATCCGTCAATCTCTGAACCTCAGTTTTCCCTTAGAACTTAACTTGACAATGGTATTGTGTTTGGACATATCTATTTATGGTCAAGCTTCATTTTAAGTTTTCTTTTTCTTTGTAATAGTAGGGAGAATGGGGATGGGAACCATAAATATCAAAGTAAAGGTACAATGTTCATTTCTAGAAAGGCTTGTACCTGCCGAAAACCAATTCCCCACAGTTACGACACCATTTACTGGAAAATTATTAAGTACACCTCAAGTGATCATCATATAATTCAAGTGATCATGATATAATTCCAACATTTGGCACAACGGGGTTTCATTCTAAATAAGGCGAGCATGATTAGTTGTATTAAATTGGAATGCACTTCTACATAAACAATTGTGTTAAAATAATATTACTTGAAATGTGCTAAATTTTAGTTCTCGTTTCATTCTATCGACAAGCACTTTCACATAAATAAAACTAGATAAATCGTGTTTAAAGCAATATTCTCTGAAATGTACTAAGCCTCGTGCTCCTTCACAAAACCTCACGCGAGATGGGAAAGTCTAGTTTATTCAAAAAAATCAAAGTACGGTTCAGTCCAAAACATAATGAGTGAACACCGCAAGCATGGAAGAGATAAAATATGAAGCATTTAAATCCATCATCGGATTGGACGAAGCATACAAAAATTGGCCTTCACTTTACTGCACAAGAAATCCAATTCGCGAATAATGTTAAAATGATTAATATTAGCATACAAAGAATATGAATGACTCGATAGAACATCATAAATTCTAACAGGGGGTAATTGAGAGATTGCACATTTTTTCAAGAACTCGAGGCCACCAACAGTTCTCAATTCATTCCTTAATAGTTCAATTATCTCTTCGCTTAACTTCCGGAAAGAACTCGAGGCCACCACCCATAAAATTAGGTTCGCTTCCAGCTAACTTGGGATATTACAAAAATCACCTTTGACACTGGATAAGTAAATAAAATAAAGTGGTCTGAGGAGAAAGAACATACGAAGACGACATTGTTGGAGACGATTTCAATGGCGGCGATCATCGAAGATGAAGTCCACAGTGGAGATGGTGATGGTGACAAAGAAGAAAAATACATTGTTGATATCCGAGTTAGCCAGGATCGAACCGAAAGGGGCCGACCTTAGAACCTGGACCGATATCCTGGATAATTGCAAAGTGTCGAGTTGAACAAGAAGTTAGAGTAATCTGAATGACAAGTGATGTCACCCCCAAGGTCAGCACCTCAATCACCTAGCGACAAAGCCGACCTCCTTAGGACCCGATCTAACCAATAGATTCCCGAAGACCGTGGGATTAACAAATGTTCAATAGCCGGCATGAAGATTTTTTCATGATCGGCTACCAGACGATTGCGGTGCTCTAAGAAAACAGAGAGCTTAGGAGCTCAAGGAAAATTATCAGGGCGTACTTTTAGTAAGGGCAGCTGCAGCCTACGAGGAGATCAAGGCTAAGGGGCTACTCTCGGACCCAAAGTCGATGCAGGTCGATCAAAGTCGCCTCGACAAGTCCAAGTATTGCGCCTATCACAAGGGACACATGCACATAACGACCAATACCGAAACCTGATTACAACACTGCTAAAGCTGATAGACGACCCGTAACTGAAGAAGTTCACCCATTCAAATGACAAGAGGAAAAAAGGGGGCGATTTGAGGATGACCCATCAGTAAAGATGACTGATGTCCACCATCGCAAGGAAGAGACCGCAACAGAGCATAAACCAAGAAATCCTGACTTTCGGGCTGGCCCTTCAAGAGACAGAAAGAGAGATCGACCCCTCGAGTGAGGGGACAACGAACAAGTTTACCCGCCTCGGCGCATCAACACGAGGCGAAGTGACTCCTTCCCTTCGAGAAGGCAAATCAAAGCTTACGTCCAACAAGCCTATTATGTCGGGCAGAGGGTTCAGCATGCCAGCAGAAGACCGATGTTGGAGCCCTCGCCGAACAAAATCTCCTTCACCGACGAGAACGCTTTTCTGTTCGACCATCCACACTCCGACGCTTTCTATATTTTGCTTTCGGCTTTGCTGAACTTGAGGGAGTTTCGCTCGAATTTTCTCTAACTTTTAAAGACATAAGCTGAAGAAATGAAGTGAGAAGGATTCTGGTCAATGCCTTAATTAATAGCCTTGGAAGTGGGCGGTCATTCATATGCCATGAGTGGGTCACAAAGTGGAACTCTCCTCTTTCCAAGGTGATATAACATGGCATGGTGGTTTGACTGACCGAGCATTATGAGATGTTGATCATGTGGTGTGGACAAGCACTTCAAAAGGTGAGGGAACATGGTCTTACACCATGTATTAAAATATTTAGCTTGTGCATACTAACTAAAAAAAGTGGCTAATGAAGGTTTGACTTATGTTAATGCATCTTATGCTTGATCTTAAGCTTGAAATGGCTAAACATCCTTTTAAATACATGCATGCTCCTAGAGCTTGAAAAAGGACATGGGCCATAATGATTCATGGCTCGGCACCAATGTCTCGGTGCATTGGCACGGCGAACGCGCGGCTAGGGTTCGACGAGCGATTTCGACGGTTCAGCACGAGCAATATAATTTGAACATTATATATAAATAATCTAACATACATAAATAATAATAAGGCACTCATGCACATAATAGCACATATAAGCACATAATTCATATAATATCTCTTGGAAATACTTAGTCGAACAACTCTAGGGTTCGAACACTACCGTATTCACTTTAAAGTCGAGCAAGTGAAACGGTTTTATTTTATTAACTGGTTGGGGCGTTACAACATATCCTCCTTAAAACATATACATCCTCGAAAATACAAAAGTAAGGTACATGGTCAGAAATCCTGCTACAAACTATATACTGAAAAGTACAAAATAAAAGTACAATTGTACAACTCAAAACTTGAAATCTGGGTATCGAGCTTGAAACTCGACCTCTCTCTCCCAAGTGGTGTCTAACTCGTCGTGGAGACTCTAGCAAACTTTGACGAGGTCTATATATCTGTTTCTCAGCGTCGAACCTTTCGGTGGAGAACTGCTACCGGCTGCTCATCATAAGTCAAGTTCTGCCAGACTTCTAACTCGCCAAAGTTCACTATGTGACTCGGGTCGTACATGTACTTTCTCAACATCGATACGTGGAAGATGTTATGTACACCCGAGAGCTCTGGGGGGCAACGCCAGATGGTAGGCTGTTACGCCAACTCGCTTGAGAATATCAAACGACCTTATGAAACGGGACTGCAACTTTATCTTCTTCCCGAAACGTACAATGCCCTTCATCGGCATGACTTTCAGAAACGCTTTATCTTCTTCCTCAAACATAAGCTCTCTTCTAGCTTGTTAGCATAGGATTTCTGTCTGCTCTGTGCCTCTTTCAGGCTCGCTTGAATCTCGGCGACCTTCTGCACCGTGTCCTCGATCAACTTGAGACCGAGAACCTGCCTTTCGCCAACCTCATCCCAATAAAGGGGTGATCGACACGTGCTTCGATACAAAGCTTCGTACGGTGCCATCTTGATTGACGAGTGATAGTTGTTGTTGTAGGCAAACTCCATCACTGGTAACAATTTCTCCCATGAACTACCTCGCTCAAATACACAAGCTCGAAGCATGTCCTCAAGTGTCTGGAGGATCCGTTCCAACTGTCTGTCGGTCTGTGGATGGTAGGCGGAACTGAACTTCAACCGTGTCCCCATGGATTCATTCAGACTCTCCCATAATCGACTCGTAAAATGAGGGTCTCAATCAAATACAATTGAGGCGGGTACGCCATGGAGTCGAAGGATCCCACAGAGGTAAATCTTGGCTAGCTTCTCCATAGACATGTTCATACTAACGGGAATAAAGTGGGCCAACTTGGTCATAAGGTCCACTACAACCATACCGCGTCGTGCTGCTCGGATGACCTTGGTAGCCCTGTGACAAAGTCCATGGTCAGTTCCTCGGAATCTCTAAGGGTTGTAGAAATACCGGTGGATGCTTATGCTCAGCCTTCACTTGCTGGCAGATCAAACACTTGTTCACAAACTCGGCTATATCTTTCTTCATGCCCCTCCACCAAAATGACCTTTTCAAGTCGTGATACATCTTTGTGCTGCTGGGGTGTGCCAAGTATGGTGCACTGTGCGCCTTGGTCAAGATCTTTTTTCTTAAGGCCTCGATGTTCGGCACAACAATTTTTCCTTTTTACTGTAAGGGAACCATCCGTGACTCGATCAAAAACCTCTACCTCGCCGGCATGGAACTTGGCCTCCAAAAAGTGAATGAGCTCGTTGGAAGTCTATTCCTGCTGAATCTTATCTTGGAGTGTGGGCCACATCCTCAGTGAACTGATACTCCCCTTCGTCTCTGGCTGGGGAAGCGATCGACTGCCTTTATCTGCATCCGGGCAAAATCTCTTATCAACTGACGCTGCTGGGTGATCATGTAGGCGAGCTCACCCCTTTCCTTTTGGCTGAGGGGCATCATTGATTACATTTTCCTTTCCTGGGTGATAACTAATGGTGCAGTCATAGTCTTCCAACAGCTCTAACCATTGCCTCTGTCGCATGTAGAGCTCTTTTTGGGTGAAGATATACTGCAAACATTTGTGGTCGGTAAAGATCTCGCATCTGCCGCCGTACAAATAATGCCTCCAAATATTCAGGGTGTGAATCACTGCTGCCAACTCAAGATCATTAGTCGGGTAATTCTCCTCGTCCAGCTTTAGTTGTCGAGAAGCATAAGCCACAACCTTTCCTTCTTGCATCAATACGCAGCCTAGACCATGTTTCGAGGCATCATTGTAGACAGTGAAACCCTGAGTGGGATCTGAAATAGTCAACACATGCGCCATCGTAAGCCTTGCTTTGAGCTCCTGGAAGCTCGCCTCACAACGGTCACTCAATTCAAACTTCACGATTTGCGCGAGCGTGAGCGT